AACATCTCCGAAAAGGAGATAAAACATATCTTTGTCTCTATTAGAAAAAAAAAAAAAAAAAAAAAAAAAAAAAACAACACCCAAAATAGAAACCACTATGGTACTTCAGGAGGCAGCCTTGAATGAACTCATCCAATGCACAAGGATGTTTTAAAGGTACCCACCAGAGGTGCTGACACGTAGGCCACTTTCAAGAAGTGTGTATTAGCTGTCTAACTACATTGAACTGATGTGGTACTTCTAGGAACAGATCCTTGTCACACAGTAATTTAGTTTTATCTACATAAACCATCATCACATCTAGAAAAGTAATGGCAATCCTTCCGACTTGGAGTTGCTTCCGGTCTTTACCATCCTGTAAAGGCCAGCGCTACAGCTTTCCTGATTTCAGGCCATTCTACTCACTATTCTGTCGGGAGTCGTGTTGTTGGGTTCACTGCTTTGACTACAGATGCAGGGCCTTTTTCCCTCAGGTGGATGAATTATTATATTATCATTTGGTTTATTGGCTTTTTCTCAGCATTTTATGACCTCCACAAAGTAAAATGCCTTGGAATTTGATAGACCCAAGTTCGAATCCAGCTCTGAAACTTACTGGCTATATGATTTTGAGTGAGTTACTTAATCTGAATCACCTTATATCCAAAACAGGGATACCGTCCTACCAAAAATTATGAGAATTCAAACTTACACAACAGGCTTGGCAGTCATTAGTCTCCAATGTTTGTTCTTCCTTCTTGCTCCCTTACCCCTCATAGCACCTTAAACAGATCACTTTCATTTACCGCTACTTGGCCAGCTAGTTTGGTTTGTTTTTTCTCATGTTAAGGCCAACCAGAGGAGCCAGCCAGTTTTTCTATAAAGCCCAATGAGGCTGATGTTTTAGTTTGCCTGTTTTAAAGGGCTAAATATAAGTTTTTCTTTTTTTTTTTTAAAGATGACCAGTAAGGGGATCTTAACCCTTGACTTGGTGTTGTCAGCACCATGCTCACCCAGTGAGCAACCGGCCATCCCTACATGGGATCCGAACCCGTGGCCTTGGTGTTATCAGCACCACACTCTCCCGAGTGAGCCAGGGGCTGACTCCCAAATAAAAGTTTTTCTACAGATTTTTCAAATTAGAGAGAACCAATGTTATCAGTGTGAAACCTGGACTTGGTGTTGCATGCAGTTTGTGTTTGTCAGTTTTTGGTACTGTAATTACATGCTATGAGAGAGGGGGAGTTTGAAGGGAAAGCCTTCATCTGGTTAGGAGGACTATGAGTGACTTCACAGAGAGATGGCATTAAAACTGAATCTTACAGTATAGGAAAAATTTCAATGGGAAGAGGGAAAGGAAGATATTTTTAGAATGAGAAATTACAGCAAAGCCCAGGTGTGTTTAGGTAAGAGCGGGAAGCTGGAATATAGGGCTTATGTTTAATGTTTCTTTCACCCTAAGGTTGCTTTTTTTTTTTTAAAGGTTGCTTTTTTACTCTGGTGTTTTTACAATCACCCCCAAAGTTCCAGGAAACCCCATATTCCTTTCTCCCATTGAGGTTTCAATGGTCATCATACCTCTCTAGGGGAATACTTCTCAGTAACTTAGCTTGGCACCGCCAAAGATAAACCACTTGTCCATTTTCACAGGTGTAGCTTACCAAATAACATTTATCTGAGTTTATATTATTTGCTGAGTCAGTTCATTATTTCACACACATGTACATTAAGAGCACCTACCTGCATTTACTAGCCCTCAATATACTTCAAACTTTTGTTAATAGTTTACAATAAAATTTTATGGAGGACCACAGGTATAGGATCCATACTGGACCTACAGCTTAGATGTAGCAAAACAACTGGACTAGTATGAGGGTACTTCAAAAAGTCTGTGGATTCGGATCCTCGTACAAGCCAGCCACTCTCCCTCCCCTCCAAAAGAAGTCTGTGGAAAAATTGGAATTAAAAGGTAATATAAATCCTTCCATGAACTTTTTGAAGATCCCTTGTATTTGGATTGAGCAACCCCAGTCCTTGGTGAAATTTCTCCGCATCCCAACTTGCACAGACAAAAACGAAGCCTTGGCACCCTCTGGTGGTAGACTGGTCATTACAATCAGACATGCTTCTCAGGATAAGGAAAGTGTGTATGTGCACAGAAGCCACAGGATAAACATGGCATTTTCCTAGATCATCTTTACTTAAAAGTTTTTTTGGGAGAAAAAAGTAGGTAATGCAAAACACTTTTATATTAAAACAAATGCAGATAATAATATTGAATAGTATATAAAATTTACATGACTTTTCGAGACAGACATCAAAGACACTTTAAGCTAAGCTACTCAAGAGCTTCAGGTTGTATCCCTAAACCCTGGGGGAGGAGATCCCCACATGCTCACTCTAATATTACGGGTGCTGCTGCTTTGACAGAAGTCTCCGAAGCAGCGAATTAAGTGCTTACACATTTGGCAACATCCCAGGGGATTATTTGAATAAGTGAAACAATAAGCTTTCTTGTTTCAGAGCATTTTAACTTGCTTTTAAAAGGCCTGAATAAATAGGAGCTTGATGCTTGAGTTGAATTTTATTTCCTTCTAAAGTGATATCCCCTGCCCCCATAAATATTTGTCAACATGCCTGAGGGTATGATATGCAAGGTGGTCACTCTCCTAAGAACCCTGTGGACTGAAGTCTGCATTACCAGATATGGAGTTGCAAATACACTTTCCAAGGGTATCATCAGGAATAAAAATCAAACAACTCATCTTCCGCAACAATAATAAAAAGGAAACAACAAAAAAACCTGAAGAACAAGAGGTTATGCACAATTAGAACCGTATAATGATGTAATTTAGGGACTGGCAAAGACTTAAGTTCTTAGAGAAGGGGGCTACTGGGGCAGTATTTGTTTTTCTTATTTCATGTGAAAACAAGAATTTCTTTTGGGAAAAAAATGTCATTATACTTCCTTTCCAAATCTTGCTTATTCTCTATAATTGTTACTTTTTCTTTGTTGTTGGTGACAATTTATTATTACTTTGCAATAACAGAATGAAGGCATGGATGCCTCACATAGAGGTTGCTAGTAATAATTTAGCAATGTATTGTCCTTTTTTTGAAATATAAGAAACAAAGTTAATCAAATTGCTCAGAGGCATACAATGGGAAGGAGACTCTCGTGGATGCTGCTGACTTTTTAGGGTATACCCAAGAAAAGGTAATTCATAACCTGCCATGTAGGTAGCCTTATTAATTTTCTTAAGTTTTACAGAATTATTTCTTTTTCTTGGGACTGTACTTTATTTTACAAAAGCTTAAACTGAGACTCATATCACATGTCAACCTGCCTGTACCTTTAGGAAAATACAACTTTTTTTTTTCCTGTTTAAGAAAATTGAGGATCTGGAGCAAAAATGTTCCATTTCAGAATAACTAGAGGGAGAATATTAGTGGTAAATTATGTTGTGCTGTGAAAAAAAAGAACAAAAAAGGCCAAACACCTGCATTTTCCCAAGATTAAATGATTATTAAAAAAGCGCGCCACACCATATAGAAATCAACATTCTCTCCCATAATTCTGTGCATCTGGGACTATAGAAATGTCACTGTCCCTGTCCCACATCTTCAAATTAACATTTTCAGGTCACAACAGTAAGTCTTCCCAAAGGGGACTTTCCGGAAGAACAAGCTATTTCCTCGGCTCATATTTCCCTGAAAAACAACAACAACAACACACAAATAAAGTCTAGTGTGAAAATGAGGTCAGCCAATCCAAATCAGCAGACAGATCCAGATGGACATGTCTCTCTGAGTCATAACTGGGACTATCACTACAGCATAGGGACTTACTGAGTGACTTTGGAACTAACTACAATTTCTCCTCATCAATAAGGCAAGAATTTCTTCCTTTCTTAGATATGCCCAGTTTGGATTCTGGCTTTGCCACTCTCTAGCTGGGTTACCAAATGAGGCAATATACATAAAGTGCTCAGAACAGTGCCTACCACTCAGTAAGCACTAGCTTTTACTTATTTTTTAATGAAATGTTCGAGTTCCTAAAAAGTACTTATAAAACCTTATAATTAAGCTGTAGTGTTCTAGGGCTGGCCAGTTAGCTCAGTTGGTTAGAGCATGGTGCTGATAACACCAAGGTCCAGGGTTCGATTCATGTACTGGCCAGCCACCAAAAACAACAAAAAAAGTAATAGTGTTTCTTAGTGCAACTGAGTAGACTCTGAGGTTAGACAGCCTGAGTATAAATCCTGGCTCTCCCAAATACAGATGGTGAAGCCCTGGGTTACAAAATTGGCATTAAACTGCTCTAAGCCCCATTTTTTTTTTTGTATGTGAAAATAGGATGGCAAAGAATGATACCTTTCCTTGCACAGCTATTTTGAGAATTATATGAGTTGCTGCATAGAAAACTCTAGCACAGTCTGATATATACTAAATGCCCAATCGAGATTTGCTGTTGTCTCAAGCACCTACAGGATCAACTGTTCCCTGGGTAAGGCACGTCTGACACCCTAATCCATTTTCTATCTGCTCTCTCCCTACAGCAGGGGTTAGTTAGGAAGTAGGGGAAGAAAGGCCCTCTTCCCTTTCAAATGGAAACCATGGTAGGAGACTGTCCAATAAAGAGAATGTAAAACTCAGAATGAAACCCAGAATGTTCATAGCAGGTCTATACAGAAATCATTTAAGTGTTCTAGCTTGGATTCACAGTGGGGCTTTTTGGAAATGCATCCTGAGCAAAAGCAACCAGAGCAACACTTGGACTTTTCCTTCCAAGTGCAGGCTGGGGAGCCTGGGCTCTGTGAACACAGGACTTTCTCAGATGTATCACTAGTACTACGCAGTAATGCAACAAGGAGCTTCTGCATGCACTTTCTTCTGTGCTTCCCACTCAAAAACAGTTTTAAACTGAAGGTCATTTTAAGTAATCTCATGCTAAGTTTAGCCCATAGCCCATCCATTACTTTAGTTTCTAATAAAGCTTTGTCTAGATTGATCAAGAATTTTTGGTTGAAGATAATATACCCCATAGCAATAATAAACCATAAATTGGAGTCTGGACAAAAACCATCCACTAACAAAACTCTAGAAGTAAGAGATCAGCTCTGTAAACAGCCTTGTGACAAATAATTTGTCATAAGTAAATAATTTCTTTTTTTTTTTTCCTTTTTTTTTTTCCTTTTTGTCTTTTTTTTTTTACTGACCAGTAACGGGATCGCAACCCTCGGTGCTGCGCCCACAGCACGCTCAGCCAGTGAGTGGGAACCGGTCTCCACATGGGATCCAAACCCTCGGCGGGAGCGCCACCACACTCCCAAGCAGCGCACTCTCCAGTGCGCCACCGGGCCGGCCCATTATTTTTCTGTTTCTTCATCTACACTGTGGGGAATATATGAGGAGATTCTGAGAAGCTAAAGGCGAATTTGGAAAAAAAGAGTCTGAAATCAAGGCTGTGATTTTAACATCCAGGATCATTACCTACCTGGACCCTATTTGCAACTCCAATGCGATCACTCAAATGGCTTCTAGGGGCCGGCCCCGTGGTGCACTCGGGAGAGTGCGGGGCTGGGAGCGCAGTGACGCTCCTGCCACGGGTTCGGATCCTATATAGGGATGGCCGGTGGGCTCACTGGCTGAGCGCAGTGCGAGCGACACCACACCAAGGGTTGTGATCCCCTTACCGGTCACAAAAAAGACAAAAAAATAAATAAATAAAAATAAATAAATAAAATAAAAATGACTTCTAGATTACATCTAGGGATTCTTACTTCTTCATTACCCAGTCTGATGATTTCTAAGCATCACATCTTACTGTTGTGCTTGAGTGATATACAGATCATAAAGCATACATTAATTGGCACCTAAAAAGTGAGCTACGAGAGTTAACCTGGGACTCCAGAGACATTATTTAAGAAAACAAAGAAAAACAAAAAAAAACAAAACAAGAGAGAGAGAGAGAAAGAAATACCTCTTTTTGTAGCACGCACCAGCAATCTAGCCAAGAAGAATACAACGGGGAGTAGGGAGGGCTCCCACCAGCAAGCCTGAAGTAGAAAAAAGACTAGCTACTCACGTTAGTATTTACAAAATGTTCTCTCAGGAGTCTGAGAAACCTCTGTCAAAATATTCTCCTATGTAGAATCCCCCAACAGGCAATTCTAGTTCTAATAAAACAAACTATACTGGGGCTTGGTAAAGACTGAGCATCCAAAAGGGATTTCGCCCCTACATTTAGGTTTCAAATCAACAAATAAACATAAACTTCAATCTTATTTTCTAAAACATTTAGGTTTTTCATTTATGGAGAAATGAAATTATAGAACACAATTAAAGAGGATGGAAAGGGGATTTAAAAACTAATTGTTGTTCACAAAGAACCTAAATATAACAATGGATAGCAATAGTGGTGACTATATGTTCCTGCTCAGGTATAACCCATAATCACTTCCTCTTGAAAACATTGTAAGGAATAATAATAATAATAATACATTTAACTCATCCTTCAAGTTTGGGCTAAAACGTGACAGCTGCCCTACAAATCAGAAAACAAACAGCATGTAACACAATAGTCAAACTCTGGTTAAAACTCCACACAGCTATTTGATATCTGATTGGAAGACAATGACACGTCTAATGACATTATATCAGCTACCATATTGGAACAGAGTTTTGAATTAAATCAAGAAGCAACTTCACAAAAGAAGCAAAAGAAATAAAGAAGGAAAAAAAAAAAGAAAAATGAAAGAAAGATAAAAAAAAAAGAGGCAAAGCTTCTGCCCAACTCAGCAGGGTCATGTGGCATCTAGAAGTTGGAAATCAATGGTGTCCACCACCAGGCACCCTTCCCAACCAATACAGGGAAAGATTAAGAAACTTTCCATAGACCAAATTTCCTACTTCTCTTTCTTTACAACTCACTTTCTCCATGAAGTCCCTAGGAAAGAGGTACAGACGCTTCATTTAATGCCTGACATAACTTTTGTCACCTTAATCAAAAAGAGGATAAAGATTTAAAATAAAAAAAAAGAAATTCTGAAAACAAAATTTGATAATTGTCTCGCTCTTTTGAAGATAGAAGCTATAACTACTGACAAGTGTATATTAATTAGAGTACTTGAGAAATATTATTTATGTCTTTCTCTATTCCAAAAAAGGATATGAGGTGGCTGCTTAAAAATAGAAACTGATGCTGCTGCTCGTGCATGGGGCATATAGAGAAAAAAATCAGGAATCCAATAATAACATCACTTGCACTTTTCTTTCCCAATTTCTACCAGGACGCTCGGCTGTCAGGCATACAGGCACTTAAACTACTAGGATAAGAAATGCAGAGTACTTACCCACAGTTGTTGACAGCCATAAGATTAGAGACAAGCACAAAGGGATAGGTCAGCATACTGGCAAAAAACTGTAAAATGGTAAAAAGACAGCTAAGTTGTTAGGTCATTCCTAGTCGCCTTTATTCTCTTCTTTCCTCTCCCTTAAATGTCTATTGCCACTGTGGTCAAATACTCCAACACTGTCCTTGCTTTCTCAGTACCCCTGGAAAGACTAAGTTACACATTTTGGGCATGGAGATGCTTCTTCCCTATAACACACAACATAACAATTAAATCCAACATTTTAACAAAAGGCTAGAAGACTTCTCTTATCCTGTGACTGAGTCCTCATTCAAATAAAACTGAACTACATTATTTAGGAGAAAAAGAAAACACAACCAATACAAATAAAGCATTTCAAAACATCTCTGAAGAAAATAAGAAAATACGAGCATCCTTCCAAAGACAATGAAAAGTACTTTAAAAGTCAACTCTTGGAAGACTCCATAATGATTAAAGAGGGTGAAGTTCTCCAGTGCAGGATCAGCAAGACACAGTGTGAGCAGGCCAAGAATCAGGGACAGAGCTGTGACCAGAAATGCCTGCACACCCCCTGTGAAAGCTGAATAGCACCAAACCATGCAGGCTGTTACGACTGTTGCTATGAGGCAAGAGCTCTGCATTATTCTTCCTTTTGATAAACATTAACAAAATTGAGAACGATTTCCCAGGGAGACATCTGGTTGCTTAAAAGCAGCAATGACACAGGTCAGATTTAAAAGAAAAACAAAACAAAATAACTATTCCTAGAAGGTTAAGTGGATTTAAAAAAAAAAAAAACTCACTCCTGTGACAGCTTGGGAATAACTCTTCATTTCATTCATGGTGGAAACCTAAAACAGCAAAAGAGCCTTTATTAGAATGAATCAGGACATTAAGCTGATATTAAGTTAACAGCCCACAACCATATCAATATATTCTATCTTTAAATTATCAGTTTCTTTGGCAGCTTGAAAATTAATTTTAAGCATAAAGACATAAAATACTGATTATGAGCATAAAAAGACAGTAGTCACCATCACTGCCTTTTTGAATCAACCTGATTCAACATTAACAGACAAATTCATATTAGACTAGGATGGTTTAGGGACAAATGCAATAGCCTCAGGATTTCAAAAACAAAAGAACATGTGATGGGTAGCCTTTTCCCATGTCCTCGAAATACAGTCCCCGGAAAATTACTTTTATAGTGTATCCAAGGGACAATTCACTTCCTCTACACACAGGTAACCAACTTGGTACCAGATGCTTTGGAGAACATCCATCTGTATACTCCAGAACCTTACAACGTGGATTTAATCATACAGGCCTTGGTATGTTCTGTTTTTCACCAAGCTGTAGAGCTGCCTATGTACACAGAGGCCCCACAACTGCTGAGACAGGGGAGACAACTTGTAGGAAAGACTGATTCTCAAAACCTCTCAGACTGAGGTTTCTAGAAAGCCCAATATGGGAGCCCCCTTATCACTCCAGAGTAGCCAAAAAAAACCCAGATACACCATAAAGCTGTTGTTCTGCTTCATCGTATCCTCCAAAATTAGGTTATCAGTAAAGAAGTGTTCTCTTTAAAGCCCTGAACTATGACAGCCCTGAATATCCTCCAAAATTAGGTTATCAGTAAAGAAGTGTTCTCTTTAAAGCCCTGAACTATGACAGGGCTAGACCTCTTCGGCATACTCTGTCACATCGTAGAAACCAAAAGGTATATCTCTCTATAGTAAACAGTATGGGTCATTTTACTAATCTTTTACAAAATTCGACTGATATTTTTAGCTCTATAATGTTCAGTCTGGCACACAGCAAACTGTCATCTTACTTTAAAGCTAATCTAGCTGCCAGGTGAAGACAAAAAAGCCAGCACTGGCACATCTCACCAAGGTCACAACCTACCCCACTGTCCAGTGCATAGGTATTGACGAGGTAGGCCAGCGAGTTACACAGCCACAAAGAAATGATGTCACCTAGGAGGCGAGGAACAAGACCCCTAAATGAAGAAACAATAAAAATAAGAAGAACCAAAACTGTGGTCAGTAAAAAGATACTACACTCAATACAAACACTTCTCAAAGAATTAGAGATTTTAGGAGCTGGTTAGCTCACTTGGGAGAGTGTGGTGCTTGTAATACCAAGGTCAAGGGTTCAGATCCCGTAATGGCCAGCCGTCCCCCCCTCCCCCCCAAAAAAAGAATTATTAAGAGATTTCAAAACATTCTAGGGAAAAGACATCAAACACCAGAATCTAGTCCTCACAACTAGTTTGTTCTAGTTAACACAGTTGTACTTGAGGCTGATCTCTAGTGACTTTTTTTTTAAATTTTGAGGCCGGGTGGTACAGAAATCTACATTTTGTTCCCATTTTTAAAATGCAGTTTGGGGGCTGGCCAGTTAGCTCAGTTGGTTAGAGCATGGTACTGTGGTATTGATAACACAAACGTCCAGGGATCAATCTCTATACTGGCCAGCTGCACACCCCCACAAATTAAAATAAAATAAAATAAAATAAAATATAAAATAAAATTTAAAAATAATAAAATAAAATTAAAAATAAAATAAAATAAAAATAAAAATATAAAATAAAATAAATAAAATTAAATAAAATATAAAATAAAATTTAAAAATAATAAAATAAAATTAAAAATAAAATAAAATAAAAATAAAAATATAAAATAAAATAAATAAAATTAAATAAAATATAAAATAAAATAAATAAAATTAAATAAAATAAATTAAATAAAATAAATAAAATAAAATAAAATATGGGTCAGCTATACCCCTCTGAACTGTGGCCAGCGGCTCACCTTAGTATTACTAATTATAAGCAGAGAGGCAAAGATTTGTGAGGTTCTTTGGAGAAGAGACTTAAATATGGTTTCACTAAGCTATTTGATATTCAAATTTGGCAGAGTAAAAGATGAAAAAAAGGGCCGGCCCAATGGCGCACTCGGTAGAGTGTGGCGGCGCTCCCGCCGAGGGTTCGGATCCCATATAGAGACCTGTCCGCTCACTGGTTGGGCGCGGTGCAGGTGCGACACCGAGGGTTGCGATACCGTTA